AAATTGCCGTAAATTGTAGTGGGCAAAAAGTACAAACACAAGGGACCACATATCAAGTTTCCTTCTCCAAAAAAACACATATTTTTATGCAATGTAGTTGTTGATTTTGGGTATAAATACCGTAATTTGGGGGTGGACAAATGTGGAGCTCTTTCTTCCGCAATGCCATTTTTTTCTTCACCTAAAATGCTCCACGGATGCCGTCTATGCCCTCCTTCTTGCCAGCAGATGCTCAAAAAGTGGATGAAACGATTGGCCAAAAAAACTTTTAGGGCTGAGAATGGAGAAGAAAGAAGGAGAAGACAGGAGCTTTTTTCCTTTTGCTATTTTGTGCATTTTTGTCCGTTAGAAAAAGTGGCCATTCGATTTGACCCGGTTATGTTGGGTATAAAGTTGGATCTGATGAATCATGCTTCTCACGTGCGAAGTTCCGTCCCAATGTTTGATTGTCCTCTAATTCCCATCAATTGTCCTTAATTGGTCAAAATTACAGAACTTTGAAGATGAAATGTATTTAGAGTTAAACTTTGAGGATGAAATTGGTCAACTCCCCAAACTTTGAGGATGAAAAGTGCATTTTTCCCCACAAAAAATTGTCCAATGTCCAAAAATGTATGACCACGATGATACGGTAACTTTTCAAACACATAACGCGTATAGTTTTAACAAACAAGAAGAATAGGAACTACGCCTGTTGACCCTTTCTATGGATCTGGGGTGGTACAGTTGGGTCTACCCACTTTGAGTTATTCGATTTTATAGGCAGGCTCCGTGATCCTTTCTTTTGGGCCTTGGTCTATTTGGATCAAATTCATCTCTCACCTTTGTTAACCACGCTAAAATTTTTAGGTTATTGAAGAAGTAAAAAAAAAAATGTTCATTACCCGCAGTTGAAGGTTGGTACAAGATTTACATTCAAGGTCTCGTGATATTACATATTTCTAAAATTTTTACAAAAAGGAGAGATTTGCACTTTGCAGTTTGGTAAAACTTGCAGTTTAAATGCCTGATAAATTGGGCAAAATCAAATTGACATGAAAGGACAGGTTCTATCTAGTTTTCTGCTCTATTCTGTATTTTGTGATGATACCACCACTTTGGCATGTTAGAAAGATGTAACAACTTATTTTTTTATGAATGAATGATTTGATTATCAAAAAATGAAAAATAAAAAAAAAGTGTCTGATTCATCGGAGGAAAAGTATTGACACAAATTTTTTCTGGATCAAAACTGTTACTGAGCCTTTCTTGTCAAGCATTCTTTATTTATTTATTTTTTCTTTTGGTTCTGTGTATAAGCCTTAGTGTTCTACCAAAATGTAGAGTCCACCTCTCATCCTGTTAGTAAACTTGATTCTGTTTTGCGTCAAATAAAAAAAAAAGTGAAATATTTTCTTCAAAGACTGTTTCCTCCACACAAGATTCCCAATCCAGTCACACCTACCCCACAAACATGTAAACAAACCACGTTAGATGCCCAGATGGATCAAGGGCGATATTCAAATACTGTACCGGCTTTTTCTTCTCTCCGAGGATTCATAGTGAGAGTTTTCAATAGTTTTTCCATTTTTTTAAAATATTAGATCTAGGTTTTCTTTTTAAGTTTTGATTACTAGATTTGGAATTTTTTGACTCTATACAGCAGATTTTACCATGATATTTGAATTTGTGCTAATTAATCAGTAGATCTGACGATTGAAAGCATGCAAAAATATTCTTGAAGTTATAATTATTTTATTTTAATTTTTACCCATTCTTTGGATTTGTAGTATGCATTCTTCTCAAATCTATTTTTTGATATCTATATATAGTTAATAATGTAATTTCTACTACTAGTAGAGATTTCAACGAAATTATAATATTTTATAAAAAAAACAAAGTACCTGCATTATCAAAGACAATAGAAGTATACGTGAGCACTGCAACCTGTAGAATCATAATAACACTTATGCAGTTATGCCCACTTTGAAAATAATTTCTCTCATTCAAACTTAACAATCAAAATTTAGAACAATTCAATTTCCATAATTCCCATCACCAACCTTACTCTGACTCTAGAATCAATCACAAGGTAGGATTGTAGAGAACCCTCATATTTTTAAATCTAATTCTAGTGAGTAATTCCTCTACAGATGTACACCAGGATAAGATAATAAATAGATATGCCAGTCAGATAAAAGAAAGCAATTAATAGAGTGGTTGACTACTATCATGAATAAGTGTTGATTGACTATACTCAATTCAAACTTCAAAGGCAGCTTTGGGTAGATCCAATTTTGTTCGGTTATCTCTTTTTTACTAGTAATTTAGTGTATGCTTACACAAGTTGTTGTTTCATGATCACGGTTAAGATAATTTACACTAACAACAAAATTATATAATTTAATTAAATCATGCAAAAAATACAACAACATAATATGATTGGACAAAGCCCAACTCAACGTGTCTTCTTTCCTTCAATGTTCATCGATTTGTCTTGTTTAGATTACAAATTTTTTTTAAAAATTTATTTTTTAATATTATATTTTTTAAATTATTTTTTTATTTCTCTTACATCAAATCATTATTGTATATTTATTTAATGAAAAAATCTAAACGAAATTTTCTTACGTACCAAAAGTCCTCAACCTTGTGTCATAGACTAGTAGGGACACCTCCAAAGTCAATAACGTTTATCAGCGGAAAAACATATTAACCCTAGATCCCTATCAACTCCAATATTTCTCATACTCCAATATTTCATATTTCTCATAAATCTTCCAACTTCAAACACACTAGACATACAGCAGAGAAATGAAGGAAACGCTACTACCTTTCTTCCTCTCATTTCTTCTTTTCACCTCATCCCCCTCTTCAGCTGCTCGACCAGCCAGTAATGCCGTTCGTGACATAGACGGAAAAGAGGTCATCGTCGGAGCCCATTACTACATATTGCCGGTTATTCGCGGCCGCGGTGGCGGCCTAACTCTTGGCAGCGCCGACAACGAAACTTGCCCTCTTGATGTCATCCAGGAGCAGTTTGAAGTTAAAAGGGGCCTCCCGTTAACGTTTACACCAGTAAACACCACTAAAGGCGTGGTCCCAGTTTCAACTGATCTGAACATCAAGTTCTTTGCTGCTACAATTTGTGTTCAGTCAACTGTCTGGAAGCTTGAATTTGACGCAGATATATCACAATACGTGATAGTCAGTGGCGGAATTGAAGGAAATCCAGGCCGTGAAACCATAAGCAACTGGTTCAAGATTGAAAAATATGATCAGGATTACAAGCTCGTTTATTGTCCTACTGTTTGTAACTTCTGTAAGGTCATCTGCAGAGATGTTGGGATATTTGTGCAGAATGGGAGGAGACGTCTTGCTTTGAGTGATGTACCTTTCAGGGTTGTCGTCAAGAAAGCTGAATATTGAATATTATCCTTGTTCCCTTCGATTTTAAGTTTCTTATCCCTTTTTGTTTCAAGTTAAATTACGAGTAATAAGAAAGAATGTACAACTCCAGCGAATAAGATTTGACTCGATCTTTGTTCAAAACATGCAAGTCATCTACATGTAAATCATGTTTTGGTTTTAATAGTATTTGGGATATCATGGAAAATTTTAGTGTTTTTATTGCATACACCTAAGACAAGCAGGAGCCTTTTCTCAGTAAAAACATTCTTGAACAGTGTAACACTGTTTGGATAAATTGTAATTCAATTTTTATTACTTGTACAACTTAAAACAGAGACGTGATATTGAGTTGATGTTCGCATGGATTTGATACATATTAATTGTATATCTATTACAAAATTGTACGAGTAGTTGACAATGAAATACAAGTTATTTAAATGTTGTTACATCAACGATTCCTGCACCTAAGTGTGCCAGATAATGGCATGGATCGGACGAAGAAATGCACAATTATTTCTTTTTCTTATTTTAGGCAAATGTATACACATGTTATTACAAATCATGAACTTGTAGCGGCATATATTTCGTGTTTGGATCGAGAAGATTTGAAATAAAATAATTTGTTTCATAAATTTTAATTTTTTTTTTATTTTTCTAATTATCTTTTTATCTCACAGATATCACATTATAAAAAATATTACAGTAATTATCTTAAATATAAATCATCCAAATAAACTTCTATCCAAACAAACATGTGAATTTTGAATTTGAATACTATTATATATGGGCCTAGTGTAATGAAGAGACATTTAAATCATATAGTAGTAACACTGTAACAGAACATTTTTCATACTTCGAAAATTTGGTCAAATATGGAGAAGGAACAGCACTAATCTAAACTGTGGACTATTCGGATTCTGGATCCAGCCGATAGACTTTTCAGCAGTGTAAATCTGATACTTATATGCATATGTGCTTTGGTCTAATCTTTCTTATAGTGTTCAATTATAATTTTTTTTCAAAAGAACATTTAGATGCATATCATGTGTGCAGAAATAAAAATTTAAAATCTGAATAAAGATAATATGCCAAGTATCCAGGCCTACTAATGTAGAAAAATAAAATCTTAACACCAATGGTGTAAGAAAAATTGATCCTTGAAATTTTAATCATTCTACGTTGAAAAGACAAAAGAAATTTTTTTTTTGAGCATATATGGACCATTGGTGCTCTTTTTTTTTTTTTTTTTTTTTTAAATTTGGAGCTCAATTGTTTAGTATAATATTTCTTCTCACTCTTTAAAGTTTAAAAATAAATGTGAGAACCACAACATAAATTTTCGGGACCAGGTGTGTTAGGTACAACTTTTTCTGTCGGCTGATCTTCATTTCTATTAAAGCTATTTAGGGTGCGTTTGGTTCCCTATAGAATTGGGGTTTAGAATTGGAATTGGGACCTAATTCCAATTCCATTGTTTGGATTCTGCTCCCCTCAAAAAATTAGAATTGAATCTGAATTCTATAGGAGTCCAATTCTATGAATTGAATTCTTTACCGGATCAAAAAAGAATTCTAATTTCAATTCCACAATTAAACGGGTCCAAACGCGGATCTAATATGGATCAAAAATTAAAATCGGGTCAAGGGTATCGGCACCCCTCTCTTTCTATCTAACTCACCATTTTTCCTCAGCCGCAGGTGCTCTGCTCTCCACCATCGCTTCCACCTGCAACCCTTTCCCACCACCGTCTTCCCCCTGCCTTCCGTTTCTCTGGCCACTCCCTCCATCCTTCGCCTCTCTCGCCACTCAGAAGTAAGCATATCTGCATAACAATTTGTTTCCTATTATTTTCACCTGAAACTGATAGACTCTCAGATGCTATTTGTTGTCTTTCTGATGAGGATCAACTGTCAGCTGTAAACAATTGAGTCAGGGTGGCATGTGATGATAGCGTAGAGGAAGATTTTTAATGGACCTGACAGCTAAAAGGCATTTGATTCATTATTAAGATTCAAAAGGTAAGACAAGTGCGATTTGAAATACAAATGTACGGGTTCTTTTGATGTTGAAATTTCCCAGATTTCCACTGAAATATAATCATAAAATCCTGGGACGAGCATTGGCTTTCTTGTTGCAATGTTGTACTCGTAACACTTGTCTTTCACTGATATATTCCCACTTCCTTGTTTGTGGAGAAGCTGTATTACTTGACAAAATTTTCAAAATATATACGTTTATTCCCCTGCCTCCTCTGTATGATTAATCAATTGCTGGTGAAGTAGTTGTCAAATATTTTATTAGATGCTGATGCATATTCATCTCCATGTGTTTTTGAAATTAGCATGAAAAATGGGAAAAATTGAGGAATTTACTTGTTAGGGAAACTTTTTGTATTTTTAGTATGAAAATGAATAATATTTGTATATTGCAGGAGTGGAAAAAGCAAACTTATAACAAAAAAGATCAAGAAAACTTGGTGGAATTGGACAGATTTTCAACTGAATGGAACTACTAAATTGTTAAACTAGCTTAGCTCCTATTATTTATGATGGTTGAGTGAGATATTCCCTAGACAATGCAAAGTATTTTTTTCATTTTGTATTTTGTTATTGCTGTTTCTGGGGGTTGTTGTACTCAAATCTTTTATAACTCCCTTCTCATATGGTTCAGTAAGCTGTTCATTTTCTATTCTTTTCTAAATTGCCTTTTCCTTTACTTATGTTTCAGGAGATACCTACTGATCAAGTTCTAAGGCAGTTGAAGTACATAGAGAAGGTATGGCATTTTATTTTTTTCATATCGCATCTTTATCTATCTAGTCAGACTCAGAATTGTTGTTGGTTTATAAATGTCAGCAATCACCCGAATCTTCAATAAGGCGACTTCTCTCTTTCCCTTCTTCCTGGTCTTTCATTTTGTGAAATGTGCTTTATTTACTTCCAAGTCTTAATCTAGCTCTCTAAGATGACCTGAGGACACACATTGTTACCAAATACAGATATTCCAACTTCATAAGAGGTAAAGAAAAAGTGGAAAAAAAAGGGTACCCCATTTGCACATTCGCATTGGTCAAGGCATCACCATGAACCTCCCACTTCTTAAACTCAGTAGAGGCTAACATAAATGAACTCGCATTCCGATGGCCTCCACCACCGAATTCCTGCATGTGATTCTATGATGTATTAACTCTTACTCTAGCTATGCATTTTCATAACTGTAAGTATAATAGTTTTGGAAGAGTATTTAGATGTCCAGAGAGAGAGTTCAACATTCAGGGAGGTAATCGAATATAGATTGGATGCACATATATATATTTTGGTATTCTTTATCAACTGATCATACATACATGTTCATATAATTTTGAAATGGTGCAACAAATTTTTCAGTGTACTTCTGATTTTGTTTTGAGTAGACTATTGCTTGTGCAGTTTTCTAGGGGAGACTTGAATGATGCACTTATCGCCTTTTCTAAATTCAGCTGCTTTTGAATCTTATTCATTATCGGACCTGCTCAATCAACTACATAAATTTTTTATGTTGCCTAATTCAAAATAAATGTCGTCTGCATGCAATTCCGTTTGGATTGCATTTTTCAGGTGGTTTTTTTAATATATTCGGTTAAATTGGTGCTGTGAATCTTCTATAGTAAATTATGGGTGGTCATGGGATTGTTGGAAACTCACGAGTTTGTGGCATTGATGAATTTCAGAGGGGGGAAGGAATGATTACCAGAAGGTTAATTTCAACAAGAGCAAATTGAATATTGATTTGAGTTTTGGCTCTTTTAAGTGTAGAATTCTCCTTACTCATTAAAGAGACTAACACGCTCTCTACAAAATAATTGGTATCTTTGAGGCATAAATATCACTTCTGAATCTTGATGCCTTCTCTTACTGAAAGTTCATTCGACATTTAAGGCAAATCATTTTTTTCTAGTTTTGTTTGAAGACAGCATAAGCAGATAATTGGAATGTCCAGCCATAGTCATAGAACTTAAAATACAGGAATTCTGTTTACCTTTGATGGACGTTTCCCTTTATTTACTCTTCAATGATATGAAATCAATGTCCAGCCCAACACGTTTTTAAGTTTAGAGATCGATTGCCTTTCATGACTAGGTGCATATTTGCCTTTCATTTTTAGTTCTATAATGCAGTAGCTATTAAATATGTTCTTAAGAACATGACATTGTGATGTTTTTCTGGTGCATATATGCCTCAGATATGGCATCTGAAGCAACATCTCAGTCAAAAGGGAAAGGCAAAGGGTATTTCACTTGGACTCCTGAAATGGATCGTGTAATGGGCACCTATTTTATTGACCAAATGAACCAAGGAAACAAATTGGATGGTAAATGTGCATGGAAGACAGTAGCCTGCACCGCAGTAATTTTATGTAAGCAAATGTTTCATGAAAACAATTCTAATTCATAATGAATTCTTTTCTCATGCAAACAAAGGATTTGGAATTCCAAATAAATTCCGTATCAATTCTATGCATTTCCCAAACGAAAGAATTGGAATGACTTGGAATTCCAATTCATAGAATTCCAATTCTAATTCTATAAAACCATAGGTTAGGTTAGCCTAAACTCGGTTCATCCGGTCTGAAAAAAGCTCACTAAATCTAAGTTTTAAATGGACTATACAAAGTTTGAATCTAGATCTTAGGCCCAAACTAAATGTTAGCCTAGTTTAAATTATATTAACCTCAAATATGATCAAAGTCCAGCCCATATACGGGTATAGTTATAGAGGTAAAAAAAATAATATCTATAATTTATAATTATCAATATTATGACATAACATGTCAATAATTTATATAAATTCATAATTATGAAATATATATTATATATAAGGGTTACATGTATAAAACCCCAATGAACTATTATCCGAGTTGCACTTTACACCCTAAAGTATTTTAATAGGTGCTTTACACCCTTGGTCCACTAAAAAATAATTCAAAAATTAATTTCATCCAAGTAATTGCTGAAATGACCAATTTATTCTCCATTAGAAACATAAGTAACAAAATACCATTTTGGTGGGAAAGATTACTACTTTAAATAGACTAATTTTTACTTTATATCTAAAAGTCTAATTGTTAACACATAAAAAAATACTGCTTTGATTTGAATGAGAATTAAGACTATTGGGGTCAAAATAGGGGTAAAATATGGAAATATTAAGTGATTATTGTTGCAATTTTAAAATCTCACAATTTTCTTCAATGCATCATAATGCCGTAACTTCATATAATCAGCAAAATTTCACTTGATATCTTTACAAGAATCAAATTGGAGTAGAATCCAAAAATTTTCGTAAGAAATTAGAACAATAACTGCAATAAAGTTGTAATACCAACCGAAATTGAAAACCACATATTAGTAACAAAATATTGGACTCAGAAATTTCAATAAACTCCTAAATTATTTACTTTTCCTTCATACCAAACTTTTCTTATCTAGACTAACTTGAAATATGTAGTAAAAATAGGGTTATTAAGATCAATTACTGAATTGAATTTATTCTGTTTCTTCTTTTTTTTCCTACTTCTTTTTTTTTTAGTTGTCATTCAAAGTGATCATATATATATATATATATATATATATATATATATATATATATATATATATATTTATTTTTATATGTTTGCAATTAGAATTTTATTATGAAGTGAAAATTAATCCATTTAAGGTGACAATTTTTTCTACCAAAAAAGTATTTTTGTCACTTACAAGGCTTTCAATGGAGGATAAATTGGTCATCTCACCAATTATTTGGATGGAGTTAATTTTCTTACTATTTTCTAATTGACTAAGGGCGTAAAGTGCCTATTAAAATAGTTTGGGATACAAAATGCAACTAGTGCAATAATTTGTAGGAGTTTTCTGCATTTAATCCTATATATTTAATTATGAGTTTGGAGCAAACTCAATTTGAGTCTGAAACTCATATAATAGTGTGATATGAATTTGAACCCTATAATATGAGCTCGAAGCCCAAAAGACTGAAACTCAAAAATCCATATAATTTGTAAGCCAAGCTTAGGCTTGATAAAGCCCAGATCAAAAAGGCCAATTAACACCCCTACTAACTAGACCTTTTGACTCAGTTTTACATATACTATTGCTACGATTATATTTTCGAATCAAATCTATCAACTACAATTTCGGATTCTAATAAGTTAATTGGCTTCTTGTTATTCCGTATTTCAATCTGCAATTCTGTTACGCAAGTTAATTGGCTTGATCAATATCCTCACCAAATAAATGTAAAGACCATCTTAATACTTTCAGAAGTAGTTAAAAAAAAAGGGAGACCAAACAGAGACCAAACGGACCCTACCTTGTTGGATTGTGATTATTTACGTTCACATTTTTCAATCAATTTTTTTATTTTATATATATCAAATTACTATAATATAATTTTCTACAAAAATTTTTAAAAATAGCAATTCAAACGGGGATAGGAGTAGAACAAAATTTCTGTTGGACTTGCCTTCAACTGTAGAATTTGCTTGTTCCAACTTGATATCATCATCATTATTATTTTTTGGCTCTTTTTGGTCATCATATTCAATACTATATCCAGGACAAATAAATGCCAACAATCAGTAGTCTCGATATGAAAAAGAATGAAGAAAAGATTTCAAAACTCGAAGCTTTCATAGCCTTAGGGTTTCAAAAAATATGAGTTTGAATATATGTGTATGAACCCATTATGGGAGACCCATAATTATAATTGTGGGAATGTGTGGATTTGGAAGACGTGTATTACATGTACATCTCCATCTTCTAAGAAAAGAAATCTCATCTTGAAGACAGACAAACATATAAGAACTACACCGCATTAAATATTATGCCTTTATTGTATATTTATTAATAAAGAGATAAATATTAACGTGTATATCGTTAATTGATTAAGTTGTGAAAAGCATATGATGTGGCGCAACTTAATTGGATGAACAACTTCAATATAGTCATATAAGACAGGGAAATATATAAAAGTGTATTAACTTACATATTATCCCTCTAATAATGAGATGAATATTAAGGTATACATTCCTAATTGGCCAAATTGAAAAAATATGTGACATGACACTTTAATTTGAAGAGTACAGTTAAGCGTATTTATTTGGCAAGAACACCTCATTTTGACTTGTGAAGAAAGATAATGAACTATTAAATAATTAATCTTCCAAGTATGTGTGATATTGCCATTGGATAAAAAAATGTCATTGTTAATTTCTAGACAAATGTTACTTTCTTATTAATTAAAATTCCATTGTCTGCAAATGCTCTCTCGAAACATGTTTGTCAATACTAAATGTAGAAAAGTGACATGAGCGGAATAGTTTCGACTCTATTTTATTTATTTATTTATCCTTTTGCATTTCATTTGAATGCCATGGGGCAAAATTTAAATATAAATTGCCTAAAATAAAGCCCATGAATGGACTTAACACAGCAAGTCTTTGAAAGAAATCTACTGCCCCAGTCCTCAAGTCTTCTGTTAAAGAGTTAAATAAAGTGATGAACATTTACAAGAAGTCATGCAAACAACTTCAATGACCTCTAAAGTCATCAAATAAGATCTTTGCTTCCATATCCAAAGCCCGAATCATCTCAGGTACGCATGCATTGCTATCATATTCACCGCCAAGACTACTAAGCTTTTCTTTCCAAATGAGTATCGTTATTGGAGTTTGAAACAGTTAATTAGCAAATCTCATGATTGCAACATATATAAAGGAAAGTTGCAGCGATTATTAGAATTTCTTATATTTTTCATATCTATTCATAATTTTTCAAATCTTTATATCTGTTAAGTTACAGATCTATCGTTTCTATTGCATATTTATCCTACTATTATTGTAGATTTCTATAATATAAATCAAATTATGTTGGAAAATTTTCAGCAATTTCATTGATTCATTTATTATCAAAAAAGAAAATGTAGTTCTAATCAAAATTCTTCATGTTAATTAGCTATTGGTGTTTCTTATTGATGGAATGTAGGGATAGGATGCTATTTTTCTATCATAGTCCCTATGTATACCGTTTGTTCTTTCCTTGATTACCTTCAAGTTTTAATGTTCTAATTATTCGAATTGGTAACTTTAGTACATATCTAAATTATAAGGGATAATTTCAGAAACCTCCCTTGAGGTCTCTACCAATTTCAGGAATCTCACCTTAGGTTTCAAAAATTACACTCAACTCCCCTACTTTCACTATTTATGCTTCAAAATAGGCCCAATAGGTTACCAATTTCTTCAAATATCCTAAACTACCCTTTTGTCAAAAAGATAAAAAGGAAAAATAAAAGAGCTTTGTTGATTGCCTTTCTTCCAACACCAAAGCCACCAACTCTTTCTACCAAAAATAAAAGTTTGGAAAAAAATTCAACTATGATGATTGCCTTCTTCCAAGCAACTCCACCACAAAAGCCAAGCAAACACCCCAATTTAAATCAAAATAAATTCTAATAATTCGAGCACTTAAAATACTATAACCTAATTTATGTCCAGTGGCCCCAACCCCTACATTTACTACACAAGTTAATTAAATCCGTCACTTAGTGCTAAACTGGATAAAACTCAATTTCAAAATTTTACCCAAAACTAACACTTCATCAACAATCAGTGGCATAGATCTTTCGTCTTTCTCTTTTTGTAGCCTCCTATTTTTTTCAACCACCCATTTCTAAAGCCCATCCATCCCTCAAATTCTTGACTTTTGGCATCACTAAGTTTTATCACCCATAATCAACCAAAAATGGATAAAATAAATAGATGCAGAAAAATCAAACCCAATACACTTAGAATTAAAAGGATAAAAAGGATGAACCTAATCATATTTGCAAAAAAGAGATGGGAATAGAGATAAAAGAAGAAGAAGAAGAAGAAGAAGGGAAGGAGGGGGATAAATAAGGGCAAGGGATAATAGATAGAATTTGGTGGTGAATTAGAGGAAGAATATTAGACAGTGAGGAATGGGTGGTAGGAATTTAGCAAAAAAGGAAATGGAAGAAAGAGTAAGTTAGAAAGGAGCAAGCGTGAGAGAGAGAAAGAGAGATAGAACAAGTCAATTTTAGTTTTTCTTGAAATTTTTGAAATTTTTTTTTTAAAAAAAGTCATTAAGCATCCTATATAGGGGTAATAGAGTACTTTTGCCGCAATAGGGGAGGTATGTGTAATTTTGAAATATTAAGGGGAGCTTAGTGAAATTGTTAGAAACCTCAGGGGAGGTTTCTAAAATTATCCCAAATTATATTTCAAAAGTTGAAAGTGCATAGGGGAAAATTCGATGTCCTGGACAATACTTTTGCTTCTTGAATGGGAGTAACCTTCAGCCATACCTGAATGAAAATTGATAGGAATAATCTTCAATTAGAATTAGAAACCGGATTCAACAGTAGACGGCATTTTACAAAGAAAAAAGTGTCAATGTACTTGAACAATTAAACCATAG